CCATGGGATTTTGTGTTGCACCTTGATAAACCCTCGCACGGACAGTAACTTGAACCCCTCAAAAAATCTCGCTGAAAAAACTCCACAAATCCCGTGGGAGCATTGGCACGTGAGAGACGCAATTGTGTCCCTCGAACACTGTCGGGATTTGAGTCCCCCCAATAGCATATGTCGACGCCGTCTCCTTCAAAACCTCTACCATTGCGTGATGGATAGATGGGCTAGAGATGAACTAATCTTCTATAGGAGATGTAGCGGTGCGTCCCCGTCAATCATCGTCGCTTGTGCGCACCACCGATGGTTGCCTCCCCTTCTTCCTCCTCTTCCCTTGCCATGCATGCATGAGGCGCTTGGCCGCACCCACCGCCTCACCACCCCGCAATGTGGTACAAGTATGTCGGTGAGGGCAGCCCCCCGCCCCTTCGCCTTGCCTACCGTCGTTGAACTATCAACGGCCACGGTTCACCGGCGCCCTCCTCTAGGTATTCCACCCCATTGTTGCCGCGAGGTGAATGAGGAAAAAGGGGATGATTGAAATGAGCTCCGCGTGACTACGAAAGAATTCAAAACGGAACAAGGCAAAACGCCACGCCAGGCTGGTACCACTTCAAACGTGTCGCGATCTGGTGATCGATGGGACGGTTGACAGAGCGGTCGCTGGGGACGCTTGAAAGCAAGCGCTCTCTTTGTAGCAATTGGGAGCAAACTCGGACCTGACCGATCCGAACGGGACTGTAACTCGGTATCCGCCCCCGCTCTCCGAGCCACCACCGTCGGGGTTCATAAATGCGTCACCTTGCGGCAGGCTCCGCGCCGCGCAGGCAGATTTAGGCGTGTCGTCTCCGTCCTTGCTTCACCGGCCAGCGCAAGGTACGCACGCTAGCATCAGAATCCAACCCACGCGACCCAACCCTCACCTGCTCTGCCCCATCGCTCCTCGCCTGCCTCCCCCGGCCCCGTCTCCGTCTGTCCACCCACCTCGCCGACCTTCTTCCCAGCTCCTCACGCCGCCCCTCCCTTCCTCCCCCTTCGCGCAAGGCCTCCAGGAAGGATGGACGTCGAGTACCACGAGGTGATTCCTCCTGGCCCTGCATTGCATTGCATGCCTTCGCTCCTCGATTCGTCCCACCGCTTGGTTCTCATCGATTTGGTTGATCCATATCGTGTGTTCCGCAGGAGTACGTGAGGAACTCGAGCGGGGTGCAGCTCTTCACCTGCGGCTGGCTGCCGGCCTCCACATCGCCCAGGGCGCTCGTCTTCCTCTGCCACGGTACGTATGTAGCAGTATGATGCCATGATAAAGCTCATGGATTTCCGGGATCTTCGTTTGCTTCCCTTCAGTTCAGCAGCTAGTTCTTGCTAGACGAGGCAAGTTTTGTTTTAAACCTCTTTCCTCTTTGCTCATGCTTTGTCTGTTTAATATCTTATCCAGGTTACGGCATGGAATGCAGCGGCTTCATGAGAGGTATGCTTGGTCCAGTTGTATTTTTCTTCCATATACTACTTCTTTCTCATTCTTTTTTTTTAAACGACTTCTTTCTCATTCTTGTCATCTTATTTTACTTGTCTCTACATAAACGACGATGAGAATAGCCTGTCACATAGGTCATCGTCTTATTTTGCATGTGAACATATTCAACCTTTACCTCTCTATATGTCCGGCTAGTACTACACAAAGGTTTCACGAGCTGTTCGTGTTGGCATAGGTAGCATAGTATTCTCCTTCGATACTGTTCATAGTCCCCAAAGGCATTAATTGATGGGTTCAGGTGAATGCGCTAGCTATATCAGGGGCCTGTAAAAACTCTGACTCACGGTCCAAAGGCGTCCACAGATGGGAAGGAATCTTACCAACTGCCTATAGTTATACTTACGTCTTGGTTTTGAAAAGGAGGATTATCTCTAGCCTCTGCATCAAGCGATGCACACATACAATTCTAGTTAGCACTTTAGAAAGGACTAATACTACAAAAATGCAGAATGGAGCCCGGCCTCCATGGAGTTTGAATTTGAAATGATCAAAATTAACATGTTTACATTTAAAAATAATTGGAAAAAATACACATGTACTTAGAGACATAATGTACAAGTATATAAATTTTCAGTGCTCGCATTTCAAGGCACTTCATCCTGAAGTTTTACGCACATACACATCATATGCTTGCATATTCGGTTTCAAAAAAAATCATATGCTTGCATACTTGTACAATTGTTTTCAGATTTTTTTTAAAAAAAAGTGAGAAGTTTGATGTTTTATTTTATTTCAATTTTTTCGGTCTCCATAGATGTCTAGCTCAAAAACACCCTACTCCTAATATTACTAGTTCACAAAGTATTTTCTTAAAAAACCCTATGTCTTCATCGATTGATGAACACATTCATGTTCTAGACACACAATGCAAGATGCTTAGAGAAATAAACTGGCTTTTACCCCAGCATCAGTTTACCCAAGCATTAGTGCTTAGTTGTAAACGGCAAATACTTAATTAGTCATCCTGCTATAGATATAACCAGTGATGCCTTAAAACAAATTGATTTATTTTACTAAGAGGGTGCTTGAATCCAAAGGACTATTTTTAGTCTGACTAAAAATAGTCTTTTTTAGAGGCTAAAGTTCCAAGCATCCCTCACTAAAGAGAGGCTAGGACTAGTCTTGAGGCTAAAATTTTTTAGTCATATGAAACCTACTAAAATATGTATTAGCCCTCTCTCTCCTCATTTAATTTCTCTCCTTTAACACATGCGAGTTCTGGATTGGAGGGTTTGAAGGATAATAAATGCTCAATAATTTGATTTTAGTCTCTTTAGTATTTGGATCCAAGCATGGGTGAGACTAGTAAGTTTTAGTCCCACTACTTTTAGTCATGGGACTAAAACGTATCCAAGCACCCTCTAAGCATCTCTCTAAACACCTTAGGCTGGTCATAGTGGGAGTAACATAGGTAGTAACATAGATGCCACATAAGCAAAAATGATGATGTGGCAAGTAGTTAATGAGGAGAGAGGCAAATAGAGTAACATAATATGTTACCATCACATAGCGGTTTCCAATGCATAATGAGTCTACAAAGTAATAAATGAAGGCAACTATGTTACCATACCTATGACACTATCCACTATGAAGGTAGTAACATAGACTAGTAACATATGTATGTTACTAGTCTAAGTTACTCCCCACTATGACCAGCCTTACACTATATGTTGTCTGAATATAGTGAGTCTGGTAATTAAGAGAATGGCCTAAATTAGCACGCTTCGGACCATGGCTGATGGCTGATGGATGGATGCCTTAATTAGCTACGGCTAGGAACGGCGGATTAAGATGGGACTGTTGGTTGATACCAGAAAGGGTAGACACCGCAGTAATTTCCCTCATTTATTAATTGACTGATGCACGCATTTAAAAGCCGACCCGGGCAGGCAGGTCTCAATTCAAAGCACCTGTCCTAATTAACATCCGTGTTTGTAGCATATCTGCACCTGTCCTAATTTCTAAATCACTTATTAGTAGTACACTACTGAAAACCCTGTTGGACAGTCGTGTGCACGCATTGAAATGTGTTCATTCACCTGTCCTGATTAACATCCCTGTTCCTTCTGCACAAGCCTCTATTCACCAACTCCTACCAATTCAAAGGGCTGTTTCAGTCAACCTATTGGCTAATCCCTCCGTTCATATTAGTTGTCGCTGATTTAGTACGAGTTTCCTGAAATTTTTCTGCGGGCTACTGCACATTCGGTCCAAAAAAAGCATGAACCAAGAACTAGCATCAGTGTAACATTTAAACCAGGTAGGGTAGTACTTTTTTTTTCCCTAAGGCACTTGGTAGGGGAATTCACATTAAGCTTGCACAACAGTAGACTGTTTTGCATGAACATGAACTACTCTCTAGTAGAACACATATAAATTTAGAAGAATTAAATGTACAATAAGCCAGAATTCAGTGATCTTAGTCACACCCAAACAAAGGTTCATCCTTACTGAAAAGATTGCAGAGCAGAATATTTTACGGGAAATCATGTACACGAAAGGAAGATGATTTTTTCCCTTTTGCAATTTTTTTTATAATTTTAAATGATGTTATTTTGCGAAAATTCGCCCAAAGTAGGCGTTTTTATGTTGGGGTGTCACTCTCAGCATCCCTCTGCATGCTTCCACATCTGGGGCTTACCTAAGTCGTGGACACGGGTGTTGGATACAAGTCCCTTTCGTCCACGAGGGTTTTACAGGTGAGCTGCCCGGCCTGCCTGCCTGCCCGCCTGCCAGACCATCAATCAGCGCGCCACACCGTCCCCATCCGCCATTAAGGCTGGTCACAGTGGGGAGGAACTTAGGAGTAACATCACACACTTCAATACAACTTTGCTTATGTGGCACGTATTTAATGAAGAGAGAGGTGCTTGTGGTAACTAACTAAGTTACCGGAACATCACACACTCCAAGAAACAATGAGTCTATAACCTAATAAATACATCGTTGCATGACACTACATAGATGTTCCTACCCACTATGGAGGTAGTAACATAGTCTAGGGAAGTGTGAAGTTACTAGCTTAGGCTGGTCACAGTGGGGAGGAACTTAGGAGTAACATCACACACTCCAATACAATTTTGCTTATGTGGCACGTATTTAATGAAGAGAGAGGTGTTTGTGGTAACTAGCTAAGTTACCGGAACATCACACACTTCAAGAAACAATGAGTCTATAACCTAATAAATACATCGTTGCATGGCACTACATAGATGTTCCTACCCACTATGGAGGTAGTAACATAGTCTAGGGAAGTGTGAAGTTACTAGCTTATGTTCTTGCCCATTGTGACCAGCCTTATGTTCTTACCCATTGTGACCAGCCTAACCAGCGGCGTCGCCTCCACGGTGGCCTTGTTGGAACAGCGGCATTGTCGCCTGCCTTTAATTCGATGGACGGCGCGTACTTGAGGCTTGATATCGTATGCCCCAGCGCGGGCGGTGTCCCATTCCGCCGGAGTAGCTCGATCGCCATTAACAGCGACCAGCTACCTCTTGGTCCCCCGCCCCCGCCCCCACCTCCGGCGAGCAACATTTCAGCTTGCGCTGGCTGTGAACTTGTTGCGTGGACGTGTGGCCACCGGTCACCCACAGGCTACAGCGTGCGTGCGTGCGTGCGTACGTACTCGACTCGAGTGGCGTACTGGTCCATCACGAGCGTAATTGAGGTTCCGGTGCTCATTATGATGTGGTTAGCTGCCGTGACTCGTATGTAGCCTCCACGCATACAGTATTCGGTTATAACTGAGTGGAGGTTGGAGAGGATGATGGATGCACACGGTCCACTCTGGCCGCTCTCTTCAATTAAGGATGGGGGTATAGGGGGAGTGGAGTAGACACGACCCCATCAGATGGACAAGTCCTATAGTGCTCTGGTTAGAGTGGTGGTCCTCTGCCTTTCATTAGCGGCTGTTTGGTATTACAGTTAGTGGGAAATTGTTTTTTCTTCAAGCCCAAACTTTAGGCTTTGCCTATTAGGTAGAACTTTCACTGTCTCAAAATGTAAGATGTTTCTTGACACTGATGGTAAATAAAATGAATGAATCTGACAATGAGAATGCCAATGACATTTCTCGGCCTACATGATCCACTAACGACTGATTACTACCGTTTCACAGCGTGCGGCGTGCGGCTGGCGGCGGCCGGGTACGGCGTGTTCGGGATGGACTACGAGGGGCACGGCAAGTCCATGGGCACCCGCTGCTACATCCGCAGCTTCCACCGCCTCGTCGACGACTGCGACCGATTCTACAAGTCCATCTGCGGTACTCTACCACTTTCTTCCCTTCTTCTTATATCTTCAAAAAAGGAAAATAAATCTTGTCATTAACCGTGACATCATGAAACTCGTGCAGGGCTGGAAGAGTACCGGAGCAAGAGCAGGTTCCTGTACGGCGAGTCCATGGGCGGCGCCGTGGCGCTGCTGCTGCACAGGAAGGACCCCACCTTCTGGGACGGCGCCGTCCTCGTCGCGCCCATGTGCAAGGTCTCTCTGCTGCAACCATGAGCATGACCATGAATGGTTTTCCTTTTAGTAGTATTTTCTTCTCCCGCCATGCCATGCATTTCTCTCGACTGACATTGTGGTATCTGTAATGCGCCCGTTCAGATATCGGAGAAGGTGAAGCCGCACCCGCTGGTCATCACCGCCCTGACGCAGGTGGAGGACATCATACCCAGGTGGAAGATCGTCCCGACCAAGGACGTCATCGATGCCGCCTTCAAGGACCCCGACAAGCGCGAACAGGTCGGTGAAATCAAACTCCCCCTCTTCTTCTTCAGAGTTCAGACATCATCGGAGGCAGCCTGAATCTTCATTTTTCAGCGTCCAGAATGTCAATCATAACTCATAAGCAAGCTGATAAAGACCGAACCTCGTTAGCGAGATCCGATCCGTTGTTGCGGCCCGATCTTTCACGACACTCCACCTTCAGCAGTAGTAGCCTCTCGCCCGCGCACGCGATGTACGCGAAGTAGAGGGATTGAACCTTACGGTCCAGCACGAGAAAACCAATCTCGACGACGGTACTCACGCACAAAACAATTTCCACGAAGAGAAATCGCAACACAGAGGTTTTCTAAAGCTTCCTCCAAAACTTAGGGATTTTTAGACAGCTTCCCCCAAAACTCGATATGGGTATTTACCCTAAAAACACATTGTGTCTATTCATAAAAATATAACCTGTTTTACATGGCGCACATATATGACCTTATACCATGGTCGACCAATCTAACTTGCGTGGCAAACTCAACCCATCTATCTTGACCTCTACTAATTTAAACAACTTCTGCCTTTTACATCTCAGCAGATATATCAAATTTAATAAACTGACTAAAACTTGCCTGAATAATCTACTAGGACTCTACCTTGGTAACAACATGGTCGTATACGCTGTTGGTGGCCCCCAGCCAACAGCCTTCAAGGAGAGTTTACGACATGCACAACTTCCTTTGCTCGTACGTTTCTTGAGAGGTAAAAATATGAACAAAAATATTGTGACCAGCCCCCGTCGTCTGAACCATATACGTGCAGCAAACACATCCTCCACTTTAATTAATTGGTCCCCAGAGTAATAGTATCTCCATCCTCCATGCATGTACGTGAAAAATCTAACTTCCTCACAAGGACCAGTACTCGTTTGTTTATCTGCTAAAATAAATGTCTCTAGCCTGGTTTGACTCTCACGCCTTGTATTTTGCACAATACCAACTGACTCTGGTTCAACCTTAATATTCTCCTCACTAGGATGCATCATATTATCAAGCCGAGCTGCCATAACTTGACCTAGACCAGCGTCTTGTACATCGTGGTGGTCGTCGGTACAAACAACTTTAGTGTTGGTCATATCATCCTGTCCCCCTTGCATCAAAACGGTCCTCGGATTTGAGTTGACCTCTTGAGCAATATTTTCTTCACTCGATTGAATATCAACCACAGAAATTTCAGCAACTTGGGCCTTCTTCTTTTCTTGTTTTTCCTGCTCTTTTATAATCTCAAGATGTTCTTTCCTCCAAGAAATAAAACGCTCTTCGCCCATTGGCACGAGGTTGCACTTCTTACCCCTCTTGACCCTATATCTATGTGTTTTGCAATCATACGCGACATCATGCTCTCTGTACCATGGCTCTCCCAATAACAAGTGACATGAAATCATCGGTGCCGAAATCACGTCGCACAAAACCTCGCAAATTTTTTTTTCCAACAAAAACGGTACCTTGGTTTGTTGCGTGACAGTGAGCTCTCCATGACCCCAACGGAAACAGTATGGTTGTGGACATGGTGTCATTGGTAGATTCAACTTCTCCACCATCTCGATGCTTGCGGCGTTGATCAAGTTCATGTGATCAATCGTCATGGCACATGATCTCTCTCTCACCACCACACAGGTGTGAAATAGCCCGGCCCAGCAGCCTTCCTCTTCCAACTGAAATCCATAGCTTAACTTACTAAATGATGATGCGCTCGTCATCTTCTCCATAATGTCGTGAACAACCTTGCTCTGAATACCACCTGATAAAGACCGAACCTCGTTAGCGAGATCCGATCCGTTGTTGCGGCCCGATCTTTCACGACACTCCACCTTCAGCAGTAGTAGCCTCTCGCCCGCGCACGCGATGTACGCGAAGTAGAGGGATTGAACCTTACGGTCCAACACGAGAAAACCAATCTCGACGACGGTACTCACGCACAAAACAATTTCCACGAAGAGAAATCGCAACACAGAGGTTTTCTAAAGCTTCCTCCAAAACTTAGGGATTTTTAGACGGCTTCCCCCAAAACTCGATACGGGTATTTACCCTAAAAACACATTGTGTCTATTCATAAAAATATAACCTGTTTTACATGGCGCACATATATGACCTTATATAGTGGTCGACCAATCTAACTTGCGTGGCAAACTCAACCCATCTATCTTGACCTCTACTAATTTAAACAACTTCTGCCTTTTACATCTCAGCAGATATATCAAATTTAATAAACTGACTAAAACTTGCCTGAATAATCTACTAGGACTCTACCTTGGTAACAACATGGTCGTATACGCTGGTGGTGGCCCCCAGCCAACAGCCTTCAAGGAGAGTTTACGACATGCACAACTTCCTTTGCTCGTACGTTTCTTGAGAGGTAAAAATATGAACAAAAATATTGTGACCAGCCCCCGTCGTCTGAACCATATACGTGCAGCAAACACATCCTCCACTTTAATTAATTGGTCCCCAGAGTAATAGTATCTCCATCCTCCATGCATGTACGTGAAAAATCTAACTTCCTCACAAGGACCAGTACTCGTTTGTTTATCTGCTAAAATAAATGTCTCTAGTCCGGTTTGACTCTCACGCCTTGTATTTTGCACAATACCAACTGACTCTGGTTCAACCTTAATATTCTCCTCACTAAGATGCATCATATTATCAAGCCGAGCTGCCATAACTTGACCTAGACCAGCGTCTTGTACATCGTGGTGGTCGTCGGTACAAACAACTTTAGTGTTGGTCATATCACAAGCCACAGATAGAATTTTGTTCTTTTACAGAACCGAAACCACGCTAGAGTAGCGTATTTTGTATCATACTAGAAGCTAATCCGATCTTGATGCGTTTCTGCCATGCCGAGCAGATCAGGAAGAACAAGCTGATCTACCAGGACAAGCCGCGGCTCAAGACGGCGCTGGAGATGCTCAGGACCAGCATGTACGTGGAGGACAGCCTGTCCAAGGTGAAGCTGCCCTTCTTGGTCCTGCACGGCGAGGCCGACACCGTGACGGACCCGGAGGTGAGCCGCGCGCTGTACGAGCACGCCGCCAGCACGGACAAGGCCATCAAGCTCTACCCGGGGATGTGGCACGGCCTCACCGCCGGCGAGCCGGACGAGAACGTCGAGGCCGTCTTCTCCGACATCATCGCGTGGCTCAATGCGCGCAGACGCGTCTGGACGCCGGAGGAGCGCCTGACGAAGATGTTGGCGGCGCCCAAGAAGCCCGACATCGACGATAAAGAACACGGCTCCACGCGGCCTCGGCGGCAGCGCCGGGGCTTCCTCTGCGGGCTCACCGGCCGGACGCATCACCACTCAGAAATGTAGCATGCATGTAACATAGTGCTACAAGATCTGCTCAGTTTATAACCAATGGCGAATAAGGGGCCGATGTGTGAGTAACACGCTTGTAACATAAATAGAGGCAGATAGATCATTCCCTTCCCTCCATTGCAGTGAACATTTTTTTTGAAAGGTTGCAGTGAACATTTACTCAAACTGAAAACACGCTATCTTGTTGTGTTTCATTTTTAAGTATTTGCTTTTTTATGTACTATGTTCGTCTCCTTTCATTTTTAAGCATAAGTGTTTTCTCGTGCCTTACAACTGAGATGACTTTGGTGTGAATGGAAGGAGCCGGACAAATTGTGGGTGGGAATAGGTAACCCATGTACCGAGAAGGATCATGAATTCTTCTATGCCTCCACCAGGGTAATCATGGGAAATGGTGCAAAAGCACCCTTTTGGGCCTCCCCTAGGCTACTTGGACGCAAGCCCAAGGATATTGCCCCTCTCATTTTTTACGTCTTAAGGAGGAAAACTTGGAAGATGAATGAGGCTCTGAATGGGAACGTTTGGATGCTTAAGATCAACCGGAACACCGTCATCACCGGCAACCACGTTCACGAATTCTTCACCCTTTGGATGGTTGTTACTGACTTCCACCTTAACAAGCTTGCCGGGGATGACATTGTTTGGATGGGGTATACTCTGTGACCACCCCTTACAAAGCGTAGTTCCTTTGTTTGACTCTATCTCCTATGGACTTCATGGTGTGGAAAGTTTGCCCCCCTCCCCCGCGAAGGTCAAGTTATTTGCTTGGCTCACCTTGCAAGATCGGATTTGGACCGCCGACCGACTGGAGCGTCATGGTTGGGAAAATTGTGGCCTTTGCCCTCTATGTAAGAGAGAGCAAGAGACGACCACCCACCTCTTTGTCAAATGCCGCTTCACTACACGGCTTTGGAACATGGTCGTCAAAAAATATGGGCTTGCGCACATGGACACTGTTGGGGATATAACTATTAGGTATGACCCGCTCAAGAGGGGCCGGGTCATCCCTATAACGAACCATCTCAAGGAAGCCCAAGAGCATGTGGCGGTTCATAGATAGGCTTGGTAGAGGGCCCAGACCCGAAGGCGGCTTAAGGCCCATAATTATAAACCGCCATGTATGTAAACTTGTATTGTAAGGTATATGAGAAAGATCACCGAGCCGGTCACGTTGTATAAACCGACCGGGACTCTGAGGGCTGCAGGACGTCAACCGGTGTATATAAGGGGACGACCTAGCGGCGGCTTAGGACAAAAAACAACAGATCGAGATCCGGGTCAAGCGTATTCGCTCCCTGCTCATCGAAACCCTAGCAATACCAACTACAAATTGGACTAGGCTTTTACCTTCATCATAAGGGGCCGAACCAGTATAAAACTTCTCGTGTCCTTTGTCCTGATTAACCCCTTTAAGCTAACCTCATCGCGATGGCTCCATGACTAAGTCCTCAAACTAGGGGCCAGTTCTTTTGCTAGCTTTTTTGGGCTTCCAGAATAAGCTGCCCCCTACCCAGCTTATTCTAGAAGCCCAACCAAAATTTTCTTTTTAAAAGCCTACTAGTCAAGTCTTAACTACTAGGCTTCTAAAAAAATAAGTTTGGTTCAGCTTCTAGAATAAGCTAGGTAGGGGGCAGCTTATTGTAGCTTATTCTAGAAGCCACCAAAAGAACTGGCCCTAGGACACCTGCCATGATAATTCCACGACAGTTGGCGCCCACCGTGGGGCTATCGCACGATGGTTTCGAGTTCTAAAAGGGCAACTTCGAAGGGATCAAGGGATACGCTGTGGGCCGGATGACCAAGAATCACCGCGGAAAGCTCTACATCGACAACGCAGGCTGGGCCCCCGAGGCCGACTCAATTGAGTACGAGTACTGGGTCCCCTTTGGTGGAATCCATGTCTTCATCGGCAAGATCGGCGAACCGGGCCCTGAGCCGGACATCGGCACCGACATCGTCGAGACGGCTCAGCGTGCGAGACCCGCTCGGGTTCGGCCTGCCATGAATCATGTCTTCGTGGGATTTATCCATGGAGTGTAATCGGAGGACAGACCAGCATCTGGTGATGAGACTGTCGTTCACTCTGATGGCGAGTCATCCACCGGTGAGACAGAGTCATTGTATCAACTGCTAGACGGCCGGCTTGGAGGCTGTTCCGATGGCGACAGTATTCCGGACCCTTGTGAGCCGCCGAATCGAGTTGCAATCTTCATGGCCGGTACACAGCCCGTGCAGCATTCATCAACGGTAGCAGAGTTGATTTCCGTGTCAGCAGCGGCAGCGGCTGCCGGGGCAGGAGGCTCTGAGCGCCCGCTGGCTCAAGCTTTAACTGACTTGCTGGATAAGCTGACAACGCTGTTAACAGCGGTGGTTAACCCGGCGGATCAAGATCGGCATAATGCAGCAATCACAGCTGCATGATGAGATAGCGCAGGCTAAGGAGGAGCTAAACGCAGAAAATACCAGGATGGCCGAGGAGCGGGCCGCTTTGGATGCTCAGGCACAACGGATTCAGTCACAATCTTACCGGATCAAGCTAGACCAGAACGCTTCCAATGAAGTCATGAGGCGGAGGCATCAGACCCGTCCGCCTTTAGTTTATGAGGCAAGGAATCTCTTTAACACGCCAGGAGCAGGAACCAGTAACCCGACAGTAGCAAACCGGGTCGAAGCGCCGAGGATGGATATGTCGGTTCAGCTACGCATGATGGACCCGCCTCGTCAGAACAATAACCCGCCGCAGCACGTGCCGACGCCACCGGGTCATTACTCTAACCCTTTGGATAACATGATTGTTGTGGCGTCACGATTGGCGGCTATCCCGTTTGAAGGTGAGTCACCAGCGGCGATTGAAACACGGAGGGCTAGAGATCTCCTTCAAACAATGATGGTTCAGCGGCAGGCTTATTCTTATAGCCGTGATAGGGTTCATTCCACCCCTTGCCCAAGCCAGAGTTACAACGAGCATATTGATGAGCCGGCTGTATCAAGCAGCGGGCGGAACCGTAACCCGCCCCGTGGACATGACCCGGCGGGCGGCGGTGCTAATGCTCAGAACGTAGTGGATCAAGGTAGAGCGCGTCGAGAGGCCGAGCTGGCGGCTCAGTATGCGGCTCGTCAACCAACTTCGGTTCGTCTAACCACCTCTGTGGAGCCAGGTGTGACCTTCAGAAACTTGGGTGTGCCATGCTTAGTGTCGGATCTGCGTAATGAGCGTCTGGCCAAGGACTTCAAAGGTCCTCGCAAGGTGCCTAACTATACAGCCGATTTAAGTCCTAAGGCATGGATTGCGAGTTATGAGATGGCTATGGAATTGCTGGATTTCAGCGAGGCTGCATGTGCTAAATATTTCCCCTGATGTTGGAAGGAACAACTCGTACTTGGTTGAAGGGGCTTCCTGCTAACTCCATCGGGTCATGGGCCGAGTTAAAGGCCTGATTCATCCGGAACTTTAAAGACACATGTAAACATCCCATGTCAATTGTAGATCTGGCTTCCTGCATTCAAGAAGAAGGTGAGTCAACAACCCATTGGGTGCGCTGGGTCACAACAATCTTGCACTCGTCGGATCGCATCAATGCCGACTCAGCAGTGTTGATGTTGGAGAACAATTGTCGTTTCATGCCCTTAAAGCAGAAGCTAGGGCGGCTCAAACATCATTGCAATGACATGGGGACACTCATGGCGGCTCTTGTTAAGTATTCTGACTCTGATAGGACCAAGGACCCCGAGTCTGATGATGAAAAGCCGGGGAAGGGAAGAAAGAACAACAACGCTAAGGGGCAGCTGTCGGTGTCAAAACCGGCGGATCTCGGGTAGGGGGTCCCGAACTGTGCGTCTGAGGTCGATGGTAACAGGAGACAAGGGACAGGATGTTTACCCAGGTTCGGGCCCTCTCTATGGAGGTAATACCCTATGTCATGCTTGATTGATATTGATGAATATGACTATTACAAGAGTTGATCTACCTCGAGGTCGTAATGGCTAAACCCTAGAGGTCTAGGTTGTATGGCTATGATAATGAATATGTCTCCTATCCGAACTAAGTCCTCTGGTTTATATAGACACCGGAAGGATCTAGGGTTACACAAGGTTGGTTACAAAGAAGGGAATCTACATATTTGGTCGCCAATCTTGCCTTCCACGCCAAGGAGAGTCCAATCCGGACACGGGTGCAGTCTTTGGTCTTCGTATCTTCACAACCCATCAGTCCGGCCCATGGCTAACAGGCCGGACGCCCGAGGACCCCTTAGTCCAGGACTCCCTCAGTAGCCCCTGAACCTGGCTTCAATGACAAGATATCCAGCGCATAGTTCTGTCTTTGGCATTGCAAGGCGGGTTCCTCCTTCCGAAGTCCAAAATAGTCTTCGGACGAATTGATCGTGTCCGGACCTGTAACACACACCCGTAGAGAGTATAGTATTCCATGAATCCAATCTGGCGACAACTTTGGTAATGTGACATCACGCTTCTCGGTCATTATTTCGAACCATTTCCCGTCCCGCCGTTCCATGTTTTGGGGCGTGGTTTTCATTTGCATGTCTTGTCAAAGCAGAGACAGTGTCCCCTAATTGCGGGATTTTCATCAATATGAGCGTGGGTAACCCAACCATTCCGCGGGGAAGATTCCTTAGGAATAGGCAGGTTCTTAGGCTTAGGAGGAGGCGTTCAATACCTGCTGCCTTTATAAAGGGACCAAGGGTCGTCCTTTTATGCCAAACCTCTCCTCAGCCTTCCCAACCTCGAGTTCTAGCACCCAAGGTTCGACTTCATTGTTTCAAGCCTCCCCATCATGTCCGGACCCAGCTCTTAAGGTCGATGGGTGGCTTCCTCCATTACAGAGGAGGATATCGCAAAGCTTCGGGCAGCCAGATATTTGACCGCGGAGGTCCACCACAGGCTTCCTGCTCAAGGATAGGTTATTCCGACACCCAGATCTGGCGAGAGGGTCGTATTCATCTCCCACTTCCTCCGGGGACTAGGGTTCACTCTTC